GAATTGCCTGAGTTTGCGTAACTGAAAAGATAGGCTTCGCAGTTTTCCCATACAGTTGTAAATATGTGTAGACCAATGAAGATTGCTGTCGATGGGGACACCCAGGTACTTCAGAGGTCATTCTAGATACAAGTTAATCGTTAAGAATAGCAGAGTTCATTGGAAATGCGGAGCAGGAAAGACTGAAAAAATACTCTATTCACTTAGGTATATTAAGACTGAGACCAGATTGGTCAGAAAATTGTTGAATGTGGGATAGGTTTTCGGTAAAAGAATGAAATTTCGGAAAAGATGAAACTGTTTGACACAAAACAACGTCATCAGCATACTTTTGAAAGTGCGCAGACGGTGAGACCGAACGATCNTGGGGATAGAACGGCACCTTGGATAGTACCAGAATGATGTTCTCCTTCCTATTTTGGTGAAATAGTCAGCAAGCTATGGGAACAGTTGTTTTGGAGCGCCAAATGTTGTACTCTCCCCTTGGGACAGAATAAATCTCATTTTCCGTAATTAATTAAATTAAATTAAACTAATTAAATTTGCCAATCCTTTATTTCCCAATGTATCTGTGTTTCAGTCACTGTATCTTCACCTTGTCTTGTTTATTCTGTGATATAACTTGATACGTCGTTGAAAAGTTGCATCAATTGTTTATTTTATTTTTTATTTTTCCTTGCTACAGCTCCAACTACTTACTGAAATTTTGGTCTGGCGTGCCACACACACTCCAGATGATCGTCTTTTCACTGTCTACAATCAAAAAGGTCAAGAGGCATCGAGTCTGACCTGTTCGCAGCTATTAAGACGTGCTGAACGCTTGGCCGGCCTGTTACAGGATAAGGCCAAAGCTACTCAGGGAACTGTGATTGCCCTACTATATCCACCGGGTGAATAATTTTTGATATTTCTTTCTTTTTTTTTTGTCGTTGTTGCAAAATTCACCATTACGCAGCGGTCATCATGCAGACAAAACCCGCAGTCTTGACAGTTCACAATTGTTTAAAAGGTTGCTTGGCCGATTGAAGATTTTATGTGGAGATTGTGAGAAGTTCAGTAACCTCTGTGGGATTCGGCCCCACCTCCTGGACGCCGCCTACGCTTTTGTACAGCGCACGCTTCTACCACTCAGAGCACTGATCTTTTCATATTCGATTCACCCATCTAACTTACAAAGACGTGGCATCATCACCCAGGTGGCATTTCAGCCAACTCCCGCAACAGGTTTCCTTCGAATCAACCGAAGTCCACCGAATGAACATCTAGGGCCGAGGTTACTAAACTTTCAACAATTTTAACATCTGTCGTCGAACAAGCGCCTCTGGGTATCCGTTCTTCTTGAGGATGTCTTTTATATAGGTCAACTCTTCGTTCAGAGTCTCTGGAGTGCAAATTTTCTTTGCCCTGTATGCCAAACAGTTCACTAAGTTCCTTTTGTATCTCAGTGTGACAAAGCTTTGAAAATCTGTGTACTGTCCAACCCACGTGCACTTACGGTCTATTCTTCTTTCGATGTGACCATCCTCCATACGGCGAAGACCAATGTCCACTCCTGGCTGATATATTTTTAGCCAAGCTCGAGGACGGACCTCTGAGGAACACAATTGACAGTCTAGATCAATACACTAGATATATGGACGATACGTTCACCATTTGTGACCCAGGAACGGACATGAATAAGTTAATTGAAGTATTTAACAACGGTCATCCGGGTATACGATTTACAATGGCGATAGAAAAGGAAAACTTTCTCGCTTTTCTGGACATTGATCTTTGTTGTATAGAGGATGGTCACATCGAAAGAAGAATAGACCGTAAGTGCACGTGGGTTGGACAGTACACAGATTTTCAAAGCTTTGTCACACTGGGATACAAACGGAACTTAGTGAACTGTTTGGCATACAGGGCAAAGAAAATTTGCACTCCAGAGACTCTGAACGAAGAGTTGACCTATATAAAAGACATCCTCAAGAACAACGGATACCCAGAGGCGTGTGTTCGACGACATATGGAATCGAAACCAACCGATACAAAAGTACAATTGGCAAAAAAGATGTTTGCCAACGTTCCCTTCAAGGGAGACAAGGAATTCACAATCCTAGAATATCGGTTATCCAAAGCAATTTCCACATAATTCATTATTCCTTTGGTCTGACCCACAACTGCTTTCCTAAGCGTATTGCACCTCAGTTCTGTTGGTTTTTCACATGAGCAGAAGAAGAGGGAGAGAAACTGTCGAGTACGTAATAAATTTGCTCCAAAAGTCTCGGTTGGAAATGCGATTATGTTTCGTTCAAAGTCAAAGTTTTATTGTGGGCGATTTTGTCGATAGATCTCATCACTGAACTTGAACTGAACATTATTCAAGCAAAAATTAAGCAGATGTTTTAGGTCATCCAACTGGGGGTTGGGGGGTTGGTGAGCTCTACATTATTGATTTATACATAACTACCCAGGTATACAATCGTTTCGAGCTCCAAGCTAGCTAGCTACAGCATTGTTCGACCAATCAGGTTTGTCACGTATGTTCCAACCATTTTACCAAGGCATGATATATCGAGTTGCACATGTCGGAAATCGATCGTAATGGTACTCCATTTTTGTGTACTTTTGTAAGCCCATACAACCTCGAAATAACAGTCCCGGTCGACCAAGTACATTCGAAAACAGGATGCATTCATGACTACCCTATGCCTGTCTTAAGCAGTGCACACAATTTACGAGAGTGCCCCCCTACGGGGTTGATTCACCTTATCCTTTTCCGTTGATTTTGTGAATTTCGACCGATCACTCAATATGGTATTCATCTTGTCTATGCAGTCTATTCAATTTAGCAACATGATCCTCAACCCCTTCTTCGGTCTGGATAGTATAACAACTTTATTCTTCTGAAGTTCCCATAATCGTATGATGTATTCTGTGGTCACTAGTTCATTTTTGTTTGGCTTGACATTCTGATACTGGTAACTGGCATTCACTGAAGTAGATTTCAGAGTCAAAGTTTTATTATGAGCGATTTCACAAAGCTAAAGCTTATCATGCCCCATAGGATTTTTAAAGAATCTTTTGAATAACTTTACAACCAGAAAATAACAATGCTAATAATGTCCGTGATCACTCCCGGATGTTGAAATTTTAAGTGTTCCAATGCTTTATTAAGTCGCGATTTAAATAGTTCAATTGTAGGAGCACGTACTACTTCAGATGGGAGAGAATCCCATACGCCGTATACTCTGACTGCAAACGAGTGATACCGGCAATCAAGGTGGCTGTTCTGGGTTTTCACCTTTAGTGGATGTTCCCTGAAGTGATCAATATGAGATAAAGTAAGCAGAGAACGCCAAGGGTGGTTCGGTTGATGCAGTATGTGATATGCCAATATTAGGTCCCCTGGAAGTCGGCGGTATTGGGATGAGTAGAGTCCCAATATTCGCAGTCTTTCGGATTATGTCTTGTTATACAGACCTTTTACCAATTTCGTTGCCAGCCTTTGCGGACGTTTTAGAGCCTTCCTGTCGTAGTTTAACCATGGATTCTATACTTGAACGGCGTACTCCGTGTGTATCCGAACGAACGCTGATAACAAGCGTGGGTACAGTGCTCTTTCGAACTGCCCGAAAACACGTTTGAGTAGTCCAACTTGCTTTAGAGCCATAGATGATACTCTGGCACAGTGCGTAGAACATCCTACGTCCTCCTGTACCATAACTCCCAGATCTCTTTCATCAGTGGCATGAACGTAGGGGAAACGATTCTTATGCCGCATGGAAATAACTCTGCATTCGGAAACGTTGAACTCGATTTCGTTGGCAATTGACCATCGGTAGGCTGCGTTGATCGTTTGTTGGAGTGCTATATAATCCTCAGTATGTTTTACCATTCTCCAGATCTTAGCATTGTGCGCAAATAGCAGCGTATTAGACCCAACGACATGTAGCAGGTCGTTTATAAATGCAAGAAAGAGACGAGGCCCCAGTACGGATTCTTGAGGAACCCCCCGAGTAGCGGTGATAGGCTTTGATAATGAATCACCAACAAGAACTGACGTGGTCCTTTGTCGGAGAAACTCCTTGATCCAGTACAGAACCAAACCTCTTACTCCGTAGTTGAAGAGCTTTTGCAATAGAATTTGGTGGTTTACTCGATCAAATGCCTTGGATAAGTCCAAATAAACTATATCCAATGGCTGGCCTGCATCAACGGATTTTGTCCACTCATCCCGTGCAAGGAGCAGGTTTGTGGTGCACGAACGCTTGTGCCGAAATCCGTGCTGGGTTGAAGACAAAAGCTTATGGTTCTCCAGACATTCCATCAACAGATCTGCCACAATAGCCTCCATGACTTTCGACAATATTGGAAGAAGTGTAACAGGGTGGTAGTTGTCTGGGAGAAATTGCGGAACGGTGGGAAAGATAGGCGCCAGTGGCGAGATTCAAACTTAGTACAACCAGGACCGTAGTCACTTGAGCACCGCGGCCCAAATCCACGAACCACATAAAGAAGAAAACAGACTAGCCCCGTGGTTTTCAGTACGTCAGACGAAATGTAATCAATTCTTTCGAAGATCCGAGTATGGCACAATAAATCAGCGCACAAAAATTTGCTCAGCTAGTTTTGTGTTTTCTATTTCTTAGTCCCGATCGGACCGGATAACTCGTTACCGTTGTACGAGTGCTACGTTCGTGGATCTTCCTTGATATCCTTACTTATTGAAATTCTGTACAGTTATATCATTGGGATCATGCATAGTTTTTGTTTTACGATCCTATGGCATTTGTTCATTTCATCATCTTTGGAATCCTGTGCGAAGAATCATAGTTAGCTCATCAGGTTCCATTTTCGTCCTTTGTTCTACAGCCGTTTCGGGTTTTTCTCATGTACATCCGAGTTTTTCCCCTGCATCGAATGACTTCCACTGCTTCTTAGCTGTTTCTCTAAGTCTTTCCGTTTCATTTTTTTCTATCCGAAGTAATCATTTGACCGAATTCGTCAAAACAATTTTTTTTCCTTTCAAGGTACCGAAATAGTGTGTGCCTTCTACGCCTGTCTCCTAATCGGTGCAATTCCTGTACCAATTCGACCACCACGACCAGATCAGAATGTGTCTTCCGGTACCTCGGGAGGGGTTGGCGGCAACAGTGGTGTATCCGGTTCGAGTGCTCTGCTTTCCGGTCCGCCAGGATCGGGTTCGAGTACCGCATTGAGCCTGTTGGGTCTGAGCTCTAGCAATCAGTCCGCATCCGGAAGCACTGGCAGTTGTTCGAACGTGCATCTACGCCCTGCGGCACCAAGTTTCGAAGCATCCCTCGAATTGATATGGAATGTGGTAAAACACTCGAACGCCTCAGCTATCTTTACTCAGCAAAGTTTAATCAAATTGCTTAAATCCAAGGTAAATTACAACCCCCCCGCCCTCCACGCTCCTTACCTGTTTGAAATGATCAGATGGGACGACAACCATTTGTTAGATATCCTGAAGTGATTTTTCATCTCAAAAACTCACCTAGTTTCAGTTTGCACAAACATTAACCATGCACTTTAGTGCGCCGGTTTTGGTTGCTATCTTTCGGCTGCCTATTTGAATGAAGAATAGTAGAAAGACAGGAAAGATTGAAAGTAGGATCGAAGAGAAAATTGAACAGTTCAGTGGACTAATGACACAGAGAAATTGAGAAGATGCGCGAACGCCACTGTTTACCACACCCAGCCATATCACTCAGTGTTTGTAACCATCACGTATGACCATCCCGAGGTCCCCATCCGGGGAGCCTAACAAGACCTGTGTGACCCAAACTCCTGGTTAGGGTTTTCATACCTTCGTGCCAGGTCTTAACTTGACCACCCTTGGCTTTCTTCCACCCACTACCTGCCTCGACAAACATCGCTCGCCGTGGAAATCTAGTTTAATCACGTTACACGTGTCAGCGGGAAAATTAAAAGACGTTTTACTTTTTGCACGTTTAATTCTATTTGTGTCTCCATTCAGGTCACAAAATGTTGTCTTTTATTTCGTGTTTAATCGCATTGTTCTTGTTTCCTCACTGTCGTGTTTTATTGTCCAGTCTGTAGAGATCTCAAATTCATCTTCAGAAGATCCCTCTCTCTCTCTCGGCACGAAGCTATATGGGCTTAGTAGTCTGAAGTCCGTAGAGAAAGTTTTCTATCTGACTATTCCCACTCATTCTGAGCCCTCAAATGGTGATCTCAAGTGGTACTTTTCTTTCTCATTCCCCCGTTTTCTCATTATTCATTCATGCATTGAGGTTTACAAATGTTTCCTGGCTATTATTCACTTATCCGTATTTTTTATAAACCTAGGACTCGTTAAAGTGTCAGGTCCGAACAACGTTCGGAGTGTATCGAAAAACGGATGCGCCATCTGATGTGTTTGATATAAGTTGTAATTTTGAAAACTGCGATTTCTGTACCGGTGAAAATAAGCCGACGTTTCAGTTACTGTGGGTAATCTTTATCAAGGTGATTTTACCCTCGGTAACTGAAACGTCAGCTTATTTTCACCCGTACCGACATTGCTGTGTTTTTAAAATTACAACCTATATAGGACTCCGGTGACGTTCGATTTGAACCGATTGCTGTTAGTGCTGAGTTTCTGTCAACTTTTCCGTGCTGTGTTTGTTGATACATAGTGGTTCTGTGGCTATGGCATATTCACTCAATTGATTTGACTTGAAAAAACCGAAACAAGAAACTCCTCACTATCACTTGGAAAAATGTTAGCCTAACTTTTTCCGCTTTATTCAAGGATGTTTATCACAGTCAGCTGAAAAAAAAGCTAGAACTTCGCGTATGTGCACAATAGGTCTGGCGTGAACAGTAGTGATAAGAGACCATTATCTCTTCTCCCTTGTAACTTCTTTATATTTTGTCTGTGTAGGATGCTACCAATCGAATACCATTTAATCATTGGCCTTTAATAATCGACTCCGAAGAGAATTACCGCAAAAAAGTCAATCTACGTCAGCCTTCCCCCGGTACGGAACAGTCAGTGGCCTACTTAGACTTCGCAGCATCGACCACAGGTATGTTTTTTTCAAAGCCAGATAGAGTTTCTTTTTCACACTTTTTTTAATCCGTTATGTGCTTGACTGGATTTTGGTTGCCAACTCGCAGAAAATCACTCTTCCGTTTTCTTTGTGTGTGTGTACGGGTGCGCACCTGTGAATCGCGGTGCTCTGTGGTTTCAGGTACCCTAACCGGAATCCGTGTCACGCATCAAGTGGTGCATGCCTTGTGCCGTGCACAAAAAGTCCAATGTGAATTCTATCCGGCGCGAGAGGTGGTTCTCAGTCTGGATCCGTATTCCGGTCTCGGTTTCACTCTGTGGGCGCTCACATCCATTCACTGCGGACATCACTCGATTCTCGTACCACCTAGTGTGACTGAAGTGGTCCCAGATTTGTGGCTGAGCATATGCAGTCAACGAAAAGGTAAGCACGACTGAATAATTTACTCTTCATACATCCTCTCTAGCTAGGACGACATGTACGTTATTCTATTCTTCTGTCAAACGTTTCGTCGTTTCAGTTGACATTTCTGTCTAAAACGGTAGTTCCGCTATTAATATCCTTGTCGGTGATTACCGTCTTCAGGATTGAGGGCAGAGGGCAGGGTGCCCGTGTAAGCCCCATCACCACTGGGTCGAAGGTCCAATCACAAGTGTTCGTTCCTCCATAGCCCCTTCAGGTGCTCATCCAAACGCCGTTTGAAAGCAGCGTCTGTCTTCTCTTCCACCACAATCGCTGGAAGGGAATTCCAGAGTGTTGTTGACCTACGCGAGAGTCGGTAGACTAACGGAAGACCAACTGACTGAAGTTCACAAAACGTGAGAGTGCCCCCGCGTGCGGTGCTCTGTCTGTAAAGGAAAGTACTGTTACAGCTCCGGGCCCGTATCACCTCTCAAAATCTATCTCAGGCAGATGAGATCTCCCCTGAGGCGTCGATACGCAATTGGGACCAGACCAGTAGCCTGTAGACGACCTTCATAACTGGTCCCGCTTAGTCCAACAACGAGTCTAGTGGCAGCATGTTGTACACACTCCAACTTATCCAGTTCACCGGCCGTGCAAGGGTATGTCGCCGCACCACCATACTCAAGTCTTGGTCTGACATGGGCAGCGTACAGCAGTCTGAAAGCGTTCATCGTGAGCTGGTTGAAAGACCGGCGAATGGGCCCGAGAATGCTCCATGCGCTAGCACAGACCCGATCGGTGTTTTCTCGGATCTTTAATGATGACGTAACCATAACACCCAGGTCTCGTTCGCAAGATGTTCTGCGCAAGGCGGTTCCATGGAAGTTGTTGACTACCGCTGAGTCAGCACGCCCCAAGTGCAGGTGAGCACACTTTGCTGTGTTGATTGGAAGAGCCCAGGTGTCCGCACACTGAGCCAGGTTATTCAAATCCGCTTGAAGAGAACTTCGATCTTCCGGATTCTTGATTGTACGCTAGATTTTGATGTCATCCGCATACATGAGGGACGGGCTGTGCAGTTGACCAGGCAGGTCGTTCATATAAACCACAAAGAGCAATGGACCAAGAACCGAGCCTTGGGGGACCCCACTGGGAGCGGAATACCATGCAGAGGGCGATTGGCCAACACGGACGCAGAATTTCCGATCAATGAGGAAGTCTCGCAGCCAATTCCGCATGACCACACCTACACCTAGGTTGGACAGCTTTCGCAGAAGGAGGTCATGCGGCACCTTGCCGAAGGCCTTACTGAATTCCACGAAGATGATGTCCGTTTCGTCTCCTTTGGCCTTGTCCTCGGTCCGGCATTCACGTGCAAGTAGTAAATTTGAGAGGCATGAGCGACCCGACCGGAAACCGTGTTGTTGGTGGCACAGGTGACCGTGATACACCAAATGCTAACGAAGCCATGCAGTCACCGGTCGCTCCATTACTTTACCCACAACGCTAGTAAGGCTGACTGGTTGGTAGTTCCCACGGTCACTCCTATCCCCAACTTTTGGGAGTGGAACAATGACAGCGTCCTTCCAATGCCGCGGTAAACGCTCTTGAGTGAATGACAAATTGAACAGGTTGCACAGTGGCGCTGCAAGTTTATCTGCCAGCTCCTTCAAGATCAGCGGATGCACACCATCAGTTCCTGGTGACTGGTGGCGATGTATGTGTACTTTTGAACTCAAGTCTCGAACCC